TATACCTGGGACATCATAAAATATACCTGGGACATCATATAATATACCTGGGACACTACATCATATAATATACCTGGGACACTACAAGCAAAAAAAAACGAAGCGAATACCATCTACGTCAAATGAACAAAACACAAAGCAAAAAAAATTGCACAAATGAAATTACAAAAAAAAATCTGGTAAGACAAGTCGATGCATGCCAAATATATATTTAAAAAAAAAAAGAAGCAGATGTGAACCAACAGAAAACACATCAGTGTCTGAGGAGCACCGGGTTGAAAGCTGAGACAGAAGGCCTAATTATTGCAGTTCATGGCCAAAGCCTTGCAACCAGATTCTGTCACTATCGCATAATCAAGGATGGAACTAACCCGAATTGTAGGTACTGCGGTAAATATGATGAAACTGCCGACCATATTATCTCAGAATGTCTGTAAATAGCAGAAAATGAATAAACCCACAGACATAACAATGTAGCGGCATTAGTGCACTGGAAGATATACAGGAAGCACAAAATCGAAACCACTGAGAGATGTTATGAGCACCAAACAGATACACTTATCCAAAATAATGATGTAACTATCCTCTGGGACATATCAAACAGATCTGATATTATCATAAAAGACAAGAAATTCAGGAAGTGTATGCTTATTGACGTGACAGTAGCATATGAAATAAATACCTCTATAACATTCATTGAGAAATTGTCCAAATACAAGGACATGGAGATCAAAATTAACAGGATGTGGGGAATGAAGACTGAGATTGTACAAATAGCATTGGATCCCTGGGACTTGTGAGAAAAGGAATGGACAATTTTACTAACAGCATCCCCGGTAACATCAACATATGCGTTGCCCAGGTTACCTTACTAGGAACATTCTATATACAAAGAATTAGAGGATAATTCTCCTATAACGCCTAATGTCCATAGTTTGGGGCCGGCTGTACAGGATACAAAGCAGCAAACATAACATACATAAATAATAATAATAATAATAATAATAATAATAATAACAACAACAACAACATGTTTTTTTTTCCGTTAGTTGTTTAGTTAGTAAGAACAATTAAACAAATAGTTTAGTCTAAATCTTCTGGATATCTCCTGTCATTTTGTCCACCTCCGTCACCAACTGGGTAGGACTTTTGTAATTTTCATATGTAATTATCTTCATAGGTGGCTAGGATCAAAGTGTAGTATCTGCGCTTTGTGAGCTGCCGGGTCGGGTGTCTGTCGAACTCTCTTCTTGCAGAGGGAACCCGGACGAAGCCTGCCGAAGGGTAGGGTTTCGTTGGGGAGGAGTTGACGGAACTGGCCCGCCTCGGCGGGTTTGGATGGTTATTTTTTTTGGCTGGGCCTGGGCTCAGAGATACCCACATTAAAAAGGCCTTGTGCCACATTCGATCCCCGTGGGTGGATTGATAAACACCATCCATAAAAAGAATACCCGCTCGGCCCGGTGGCTAGGATCAAAGTGTAGTATCTGCGCTTTGTGAGCTGCCGGGTCGGTTGTCTGTCAAACTCTTTGCTTGCAGAGAGGAACCCGGACGAAGCTCTGCCGAAGGGTAGGGTTTCGTTGGGGGAGGTTGACGGAACTGGCCCGCCTCGGCGGGTTTGGATGGTTATTTATTTTTGGCTGGGCCTACGGGCTCAGAGATACCCACATTAAAAAGGCCGTATGCCACATTCGATCCCCGTGGGTGGATTGATAAATACCATCTTCATAGGTTTTAAGAATTTGAAGTTCGGTCGCTTCTGGATATTTCTTTTCGTCAAAATAATATTAATAATATAACAACAACAATAATAATTATATTCTTCGTCTTCTTTTTTTATCTTCTGTCCATGGGCGATCATGGCTCTCCACGGTTTCTTTCCCCTTATTACTCTAAGCAAATCTTTGACGGCTTACAATCTCTCTCATTCACGCAAATATTCACTGGATTCTTTCTGCTATTTTGCCGACAGTATGTGATGTGAGTTCTTATTTTTTCTCCTTATTTTTACCGGAGATTGCAGCTGTTTCTCTTTGATTGTAAATATACATTTTCTTGTCGTTTATATCCTCAATAAAACGTCCTTTCTTCTTTTGTTTAATGAGATCGCCAATAACAAAAACGTATCGTCTGTTACTGTGGAAGAAAATAACAGTGGGTAGGTGCAGATGAAAATTAATTATAAAATTGAAGAACCCGAGGTCGTAATTCCAGGAATCATAAATAAGCCTCAGAAGCTTAAAGTCAAAAAAACATACCTGGGGGAGGCGTAAAGAAAAAGGGGCAATTAAAATCTGTATCCAAATCCCTGCAACGCACAACTACCGGTTTCTCTCACAAAGGGCCAAGATAACCAGTCGGTCAAAGTAGGACTTTTATTAAAGTGGGTTCAACGGGAAAATTGCTCAAGCTTCCTCGGAATTTCCCAGCTCTCTCCCGACGGTGTTTTTTTTTTTTTTTTTTTTTAAGCGTTTCACCCCCAAGCAAGGCTCTATAGTTAATGTTAGCATTTTTATAACCACTATTTTTTAGGGCAGTGTTATAGAAGCCATTGTGTTGTTGGAATATTTCCTTGTTAGCGGAGTTAATGCTAATTCTATTTTCTATTGATGAGGGTATATGTTTAATTATGGATGGAGGGTGGTTTGACTTCGGGTGTATATATAAAGGGTTAGCATTTGGTTTGCTATAAGGTTGGTATGTGTTGCCACGTAATTCTAGAGTTTTCACATATGTATATATATATATATATATATATATATATATGTGTGTGTGTGTGTGTGTGTGTGTGTGTGTGTGTGTGTGTGTGTGTGTGTGTGTGTGTGTGTGTGTATTCCATGAGAGCGTCTTGGTCTCACATTTTACACTGACCTGAGGTAAAACAAATACGTGGAATCAATAGCTTCATCTACCGCAAGGAAAGTTGGTAATCCGTGTCGCGCCAGAAGGTTTTTTTCTCCCCTGGATGCATCCTTCAAATCTACAAATCTACCATTCATCCTTGCACTGAATAATGTTGTCATATATGGTCTGGTGCCCCTGCTGTTTATCTCGATGTCCTAGACAAGATACAAAGACGGATATGCAATATGATAGGTCCTGACCTGGCATCTCGTCTCTAGTCACTATCTCACAGACGTGATGTGGCTTACATCTGTCTTTTCTACAAATATTTTCATGCCAACTGCTCTGACGAGCTACTTTCACTGGTGCTCCAACGGCATGATTTCAAGCTTGCTACTAGATGGGAATCTCGGTCCCACACTTTCACAGTCTGTTCTACTCCAACAGCTTCTTCTCTCGCACATCCTGACGTTGGAACTCCTTTCCTCCCACTTTCTTCCTTGATTGCTATAATCATCAAATATTCAAATGTAATGTCAATCGGCATATTCTGATACCTTGATTCTGATCCCCGTCTTTCCTCAAATACCCCTCTTTACTCTTTACTCTTGCTCTCACTCTCTGTAAACCCATGCGTGCTAATGGCACTCCCACATTGCTTGTTGAAAATGCACATATATATATATATATATATATATATATATATATATATATATATATATATGAGGCTATCTGATCTTTAGGTTTTATTTTTGTTTTACCTTTTTCGACCTTGAGAATTTTGCAGCGCACTGCGTTCTTTGCTTTTCCCGCGTTTTTTTATTTGCCTACTTTTTTATTTATTTTTTTATTTTCTTATTTTTTTTAATTTCTTTCTTTCTTTCTTTCTTTCTTTCTTTCTTTCTTTCAATTTCCCTCACATCGTAATGTTTTCCCTCTATTCTCTCTCCCTCTTTTACATTACTTTCTTTCTTTCTTTCTTTCTTTCTTTCTTTCTTTCTTTCTTTCATACAGCATTCAATTCCTTTCTCCCTTCATAATCTGTCTTTCTTTATTTCTTTTTTCTTTCTTTCATACAACTTTCTATTTTCTATCTCTTCATAGTTTTTTTTTCTTTTTTTTACATAAATAGTTTTCTATTCTTTTCTCACTTCTGAGTCTCTTTTTCTTTCTTTCTTTTTTCTTTCTTTCTTTCTTTCTTTCTTTCTTTTTTCTTTCTTTCTTTCTTTTTTCTTTCTTTCTTTCTTTCTTTTTCTTTTTACTGTCTTTTTTTCACAATTGAAATACATTTTTCCCTTCTTTAAAGCGGGAATCACTTATTCTCCCCACCCTCATCTCTCTCTCTCTCTCTCTCTCTCTCTCTCTCTTCCTGCTTGATTTGAAGAGATGATATAAAAATCATATTAACATCAAGCAATTGTAAAAATCATCATCCAACTACAAAAAAAAAAAAAAAATTGTTTTTCACACGGAAATATCTGTTTGTGTACTTTTTTTATGAAAAGCTATTTAGCTTTACTCTTTTTTTTTAATTCAAGGAGTGACATCTTTATTCAATTCCCTTGTAAAGTCTATTTCTTCTTATTGTTTTAACTTCATACAATTACGAAGAAGTATGCAGAAATTTTCTTGTTCACCATCAACCAACGATTCCCGACTTGATGAACCTTAACTTGCAATGTCAACAATTGCACCAAAATAATTCTCTTCTTCGTGGGAGACAGTCAGATCAACACTGCTACCGTGATTCTAACATGGTTATCTCCCCTTCAATTCGATTTTGAAACCCCTTTTCTGTAACGTCCTTAACCAACAGATTTGATTTTATAAATTCTGCTTCTTTTGCCTTTATTCATTTTCATTTTCTTACTGTTTATTTTTTTTTTTTTGCTCACTCCTTTTATTTCTGTTTAATTTCAAAATTCTTCCGTACGGTGCTTCAGCCAACAGACTCGATCTTATAAATTCAACTTCTTTTCTGATATTACATTGCATTTTTTTCGTTTATTATGTTGACAACCATTTTTCTTATCTTTCCTTCAATTTTCTTTCCAACTTTTCTTATCTTTTATATTTTTCGCCCTTTTTTTTTCCTTCATAAATTTCTTAATTTTTTTTTATTTTTATCGTTCTTTCGTAGACTTGCAGGCACATAAATTGAAACACCGGTTCCCCTACGATCACCGAAGTTAAGCAACGTCGAGCCTGGTGAATACCTAAATGGTGTGATCGCTTGGGAATATAAGGTGCTGTAAGCTTGAATGTGCGTGTGGTGAAATGTATAATTGCTTGGAATTTATCGGAAAGCCGAGTTCCATTTCTAAATTGAGTCCTTTATATTCATTAATGCGGGTAGGGATACAAAAAGGTTATTATCCCCCTTCCGCTGAGAGAAAGACACGAAGGTAAAGCGACGGCCGTTTAGTGATGTTAGAGGATAGAACGTGAAACATGGAGGAGGACGTAGCTAGCCCACAGTTTGTGGGCCATATAGGAAAAAAAAAATCACATGGCCTCACCGGCTGCATAGAGAAAACACAGTAAATCCAGTTTTCCCTTCGGGGAATATTACATACAAAGTTCTCTTTTTTTCACACTGCTTGCTGTTGCAGACATTTGATATACTTTCTCAGTGTGTGGGAGTCGGATAATTATGTATATATAATGTTGCGTAAGATTAGCATCATAAAATTCTCTCGGAGAATAAAACATTTTTGTCATTCATTTTTCTTTCAACTATTATGTTCCGTCCGTGAAATACGGTGTTATTATGTCATGGATATAATAATGCTCATAATGGGGGAAATGTAAATAGGAGAATAAAGCTTTCTTCCATAGTTCTATCAGTACCCGTAAATACCCTTGGGAAAGGTATGAACCTACCTCGTCTCCTTCCAGCTATGGGTTAACTGTATCACTAAAAATATTTAATATCACGAAAAAAGTTATTATACTCTAAAAATATGTTGTGGTTTTAATTAAACTTCAAAGCGTTGATAAGCTGTCAAAATGAATTTTTTCTTTTCTTAAAACTCTTGCTATATTCAATTTTCACGTTCCATTTTATATTTACTGTTTCTTTTTCTTATTCTGCCAGTTTTTCTACATCTTTTTTTATTTTTCCTTCTATGGATAGCGGATGGGATTGAGGATCGGAGAGCCGAGTTTGAATTTCAGTCGAATCCATTACATTCACTTACATGCCAATATCCTTGGGTAAGGTATGAATCCTCTTCTTCTCCCCCACCAATGGGTAAATAGCAAGATAGACCTGGTTCTATAGCCTTTGATCACAAATGGTCTACTGCAGAAGGAAATAGCAACCTATTGGGGAAAAAAATCTGCCTCGTCAGTCATGTATCGAAAGATACATTATCGCCAAAGCGTGTATCATCCATGGCAGATAATTGACTGACTGATTTCTTTTCAGATTTAGTTTTCTTACGATATCTTCTTTGTTTTAATTGATTTCACCCGAAGCAAGGCTGTAAAACCACTAAGACACAAAGGGTTATTGGGCGCGAAAGAATTAGAAAACCGAAACATTACTAAGCCGATCAGTCATACAGGGATAATAATATTGCTGATTCTTTGGATTATATCAAGGAGATCAAGGTAAATGTTCGGGGCACCGGGCCATATATGGCAGCAATATTCTAAGGATGGACAAATGGTAGACTTATACATACACTCTGGCGCAAATTAATTGAAACAACCGCTTTAGTTTCATTTCTTTCGCCATTCGGGCAGTTTTACACCCACTGGAGCGACAGGGTGTAATCGATTTCTATTTTTTTCTAAGATTAGGTCATTTGCAGTGCTGTGCAGTAATACGAATCTATTTTCGGAGTATATAATGAAATTTGTTTGGCCTTGAAAATATTGCGTCATCCGTGATTGCATCAGACTTTCATCATGCCAAGACACTATTGTCTCGACTTTCGATTAGTTGTCCTACGACCATTGTCCGCGATAGACATTACTTCAAGGAAGCGTACAGAATATGTAACGCTTCACGAACACACTGACAAATCTTACCAGTGAGTAAATCAAAATATTATAGACTGTCCCTGAAACTCTCTTGATTTAAATCAAATCGAGAATCTGTGGTCAATTTGCAAGAAACGACTTCGTGGTATGGACATACGATGTATTAACATGTGCACTGGTTAATTTTTCACTGGGAAAACACCAAAAATAGTAAATAATAACGGAATTATTCGTTTTGTTTCAATTAATTTGTACATGGTTGTATGTATCATATTTGGGAGAGAAAAATTGTCTCACACGACACATGAGCCGGCTTTCCTTGCAGCTGACATAGCATTGGATTTAATATAGTTTTTCCACTTCATGTCAGCTGAGAAGTTTAGCCCGAGAAGGCATCTGTTTCTATTTATGTTCTCTCTTTCCTTTTCTTCTTTTTTCATTCAAATTCTTTCTTTCTTTTTTATTGAATTTGTTCAGATTCTTGGTTTTATTTCTGTTTTTATTCACGTTTGTCATTTTATATTTCTTCTTTCGTTTTATCTCCCTCCTCCTCCTCTTTATTTGTTTTATCTTCTTCATTATTTTCACCCTCTCCTTCCATTCTTTTTCTCCCCTTTCTTTTTCGCTTCTCTTTTTTCTTCTTCTTCTAGTCTCACCCTCTTCCCCATTATGTTTTCTCCCTCTTACTTTTCTTCTCTCTTTTGAACATCTCTTTTTCTTTTGTTGTTTCTTTACTAGTTCCCTCTTCTATTTATATATTCTTCCTCACCTTTCCTCTTTTTTTTCCCTTTTTCGCTATCACCGATCATCTTCAGTTAAAATTTATAATATCTTTCACATTAAAGAGTTTATCAGGAAAATATAGTTCTCAAGTCCACTAACTGTTATCTCTCTTTCTAATATTAATAGAACTTCCCTTCCTAATCTTGGTTGTGTGAAAATTGTATCGTTATTTTCCCTTCTAATTAGATAGTAGCTTCACTGTACTTCTTTCTATTATCTATCAGTGGATGTTACCTAGACTTATCAAATTTGAGCTCAGTACTAGATTGGCGGAAAGGTCTCATAATTTTGCAGTTGGAATGGCTAGATCAAACCGTAAGCTCTATGGTAACAGGTTCTACTCTCATATTTCACATCTTTTCGGTTTCCAAGCAAATTTGGTCTTCAAAAATTTGAATGAACTATCAATTGTTATCTTCTGTCTTCTTAATTCTTGTTCATTTATTGTTCCCTGTCCTTAATATTTTTTTCAAATTCTCTCAACCTCAATCTTAGTGGCTTTATTGCCTGGCTTGGGTCGAAATTATTGAAAAGAAAACGTGCTATCCATTTTACCTGCTGTTGTTAGCAGTCTTTATGTGATGTATTTTTTGTTAAAACTGCGTGTGATTCTGTAGCGCCAGCCTATTAGTTCTAATCTTTAAGAAGTAAACCATTCATTTGCCTCAAGCCAATTTTAATGACTGATTTGAGAAAACTGTCTATATAGCTGAGATTATGAGAATCAAGATTGGAAAAGTCAATTTAAGATCAAATTAACATGGCAAGGTGAGGGGTTAGACATTTTCTTGAACTTTCTTCTGTCGTTTGATATTCTCATAGAATGAGTGCAGGGACGATCTTTTCCTCACGTTTCTAGAAATTCTTGTTATCCAGTTGTCTTATGTGCATATATTTATATCAGAGAGAGAGAGAGAGAGAGAGAGAGAGAGAGAGAGAGAGAGAGAGGGAGGGAGGGAAAGAGAGAGTGAGTGAGAGGGAGAGATAGCAATTTCTAAAGAAAGGGAATTGATTTTTTTCAGTTATTAATTCGACAGGTTTTATTACTAAAATTACTTAACTAATTAGATAGAGAAGATATGAAGAGACTAAGAGAGATGCATAGATAGATAGAGAGAAAAAAGAGAGAGAGAAAGGGAGAGAGAAAGAGAGAGGGAAAAATAATAGGTTGAGTTAGATATGAACCTTGGCATTGATACACATGTAGAGATAAGCATATCGAGATAAGCATATCGATATATATATGTATATCGTCTATATATATATATATATATATATATCTAAATCTTTCCTAAATTTTCGCTTGAGGATGAAACAGGGCTTGATACCTTAATTCAATTTAATTGTAATAATTTATTGAGGGTTTCGACTCTCATTTTTGAAACATGAGAATTCTTATGTAGAGAAAGAATTATATTTAAAAAATAATAATAATAATTATATATATATATATATATATATATATATATATATAATTATTTACTTAAAAATATGATTCCATCGCTACATAAGAGTTCTTATGTTTCAAAACAAGAGCCGAAAACTTCAATATAATTATTTGAATTAAACTGAATTGAAGTACCAGGCTCTGTTCCATCTTCAAGCGAAATTTATTTGGAATAACTAATTCCTGAAGTTTACGCGTTTTATAAGCATATCCATTATTAAAGTTAAAATTACTATAGTAATGGCTGGAGCAATTGTAAAGGTTCATAATTTGTATCAATATCTTAGTTACATTCAATGAGGTCAACTCAGGAAGACATATTTATGTTCATACATTCTCTTTATAGATACAAATATTTGAGTAAATTCTCTGTTTATAATAAACAATATTAAACAACATTTACGGACCTGAATGTCCGATAAATCTTCACAGAAAATATTCGTCCTCCGACAGGATTCGAACCTGTATTCTACACGGAACCGTCATTTAGCTTGACGTGCCACTACCGATTTACACATATATATATATATATATATATATATATATATATATATATATATATATATATATATATATATATATATATATATATATATATATATATATATATATATGGTTGGATAGATGTGAGTTTGTGACCTTGGCTTTCACGTTTGGCGATCGTCAGACAAACCCCGAGCGCTTTCTAATAAGTACCCGCGCATATAATATATAAATAGTAATACATATATATATTTGTTTATATTTATATACTTTTCACATATATATATATATATATATATATATATATATATATATATATATATATATATATATATATATATATATTTTATATTTTTGAGCTCTCAGGAGAGAAAAGTGACTATTACTGCTGCTTCTGTAAGATCTTTTGTTAACATGTATCAGGTTCTCCAGTCACTGGCGTGTTTATCTAAAAATAAATACGTCTAAATTCACCTTCATCCATGCCGTGCGCTAGTTCTAGAATGTCGATCACGGCTTGGGGCAATCGGATGTCTAGCCACATTGATGAGCT